CTTTAGACATTTTCAGGATGACTTAAGAATATTATTATTACATGTACACAATAATTTAATCTTAGATTTGATATTATAATGTTTTGGATAATCGTATACTTTAAAATATATTTTCTTTGTTAAACTGTTTTTATAAATTTTGGCAAAATGTTTGGTGATAAAATTTGTTTTTAGAGATAATTAGTCAAAACAAGGTGTTTCATTATCTGTTACGCCATTAAGTATATTAGGGTTAAGTACTGTTAAGAGAACATATTTTAATGTTTATCTTTTATGATACTCGTTGTTTTAGTAATAATTCTAAATGTTAGAACACTTATCTGAACACGGTAATTTTTTGCCGCAACATTTTGTATTTATTTATATATTACTTTGCATTACTGTAAATTAAGCCTGGAAGTTGTAAACATTAAAATAAATGCTACCGTCCAGTTTTTATGAACCATAAACTTAGAGAAATTTAAAGAGAATGCTGTAATTTAAACTAGATGGATAATATAATTGATGGCAGTCGACAGATAATTTGCAAAATGTGTAATGAGACTTTCGATTGATTACTGACACGGTTTTACCATTTAACCCAAACTGACCTATGATAGGAAAAGGATCTCAGTTGTTTATATATTTGACCTTGTCGATTGCAATTTATTAGGGTGCTAACTTTTCAATTACAATGACTAATCAGTTATTTACTACAAGCTTACAAAACCGATGTATGATTTGTAATTTGTTATTTAGAACATTAACATTAATCAATTCATATTATAATTACTTTGAACGGTGACATATTATTTTTTTTTGAAAATTACAATTCTAAAAAATTGTGTTGAACAATAATTCAGAGTTTATTAATTTTTCGATGTTTATGGATTCATTCAGCGATTTTCATCCCAATAAAATTGTAGTAAAAAAAATTAATTTAACTTACTCGTACTTTTATGTATTCTGCATAAATTATTAATTTTAACTAAAATAAAACAAGATATAAGAGTGATATATCATATATTACATTCGACAAACGATATGCGTTAATAATTATATTTAAATCGCTTTGTTAATACACAAAATATACAAATTTTTTTATAGATTTCATCTGAACTTGATTATTAATTTATAAATTGTATACACAACATTGAAATAGGTATCGATTAGTGTAAATATTTATTCCCATTAAAATTTGTACAAAGATGATTTCCAGGAATTAATTAATTTATTACACTATAAAAAATAACCCACAATGGAATTTTTCGGTTTTTTTAAAAGTTCGCTATTACCAAACGTTGAATACATAAAATATCGATTGTTTTTGTAGACTGTTATTTAAATAAATATCCTGTCGGCAGGTTTTTATTTTGACATTTTTTTTTTTACGTGGTTTTTGTAATTTGGAAACGAATGCTTGCTGGTTCAGTATACATATAAATGTGTAGAGTAAAAAAATGTCTTTGCCAATCTGTGGCGAGTGGTGTGGCGGCTATCGCTGGTCAGTGAGAAGCATAAATCTTGTGCGGATCTTCGCCGCCGTCGTTGGTCGTGAAAAACGTTTGACGCAGGTGAGAAACGGCACATTTCGCGTTCTATTGTTAACCAACTCACATAAAACTATAACGCAAACGCACCACAAATACCAACAACTTTTTTTTTAGCATGATTATTTTAAATTTCTTTGTGTGTTTGTGTCTTTGCCGTATTCCTATTTCTTATTCGCATAAAAAGTGTCACATATAGGTGACCAAACGTGTGTCATGGAAGCATAGAATAGATGTATGTGTATATGTATACGTGAATGCATAACTCATGGTGGTATATACAATTGAAAATACTTAATATCTATGGATTGTGTGGAATAATTTCGCCCCGGGATGTCTTGTGTCTTCGTCGGTCGGGTTATGCGGAATAGAAAAAGCGACTCAAACGTGTCGACAACTGGTGTGAGACAATCGCGTGATGAGAGTATTCCGTATACCTACAGACATGCAGACGTCGGCTAGAGCAATGAATACGTTCGACCACAAACGATTAATTAAAATATTTATATATTGCATGCTAACAGCTTTTGACATTCTTTATAATCCTTCAGTTTCATATTAACATATGAACCATTATAATTATATCACCTCCAACCAAAGGAATTAAATCATAAACTTATATAAATATTTATACATTTTTTCTTTATTCAATAATATATGAGTATGTATTAATGCAAGGTACAAATTAAAATTCAGTCAACCATTGGGAAAAAATAATGTGTTTGAGTAAATAGAAAAGAGAAACAAATTTATTAAAGCTTAGCATTTGTAGAATATAAAACTTTTTAATTTAAATTAGTGTTTTGCAACACCATTTGGTTTTAATGGTTTTATGAGACGAGACATCTTAAGACCTCTAACTTGTTTTTAACTAATATTCATGTTTATTTTGTTCTACGCGTCGTTCTGTTCTAGTGCAATTAAAATTAGAATATGTTTTTGTGCTTTATTTAGCGTCTTCTTGAAGTAATTCTATTTTAGTAACTTAAATATACTTTACCGGTGATTTCGTTTGAAATCAATAAGACTTAAACTAAGTACTGTCCAAAAACATAGAATTTCGTTTTAATATTTTCTATGAAAAATGATATTCTTAGCATACTACCCATTAAAACAAGTGAATACCTTAATTTTCTTATACACTATGTTTACTCTTAAGGAATATTGGTCGAAAGTTTTCAAAATTGTTTTTTATTAGAACACGTGAAGTAAAAAAATTTGTAAATACCAAAAAAAAAAAAAAAAATACAATTTATTTTTCATGACCTGAAAAACAATTTAAATTAAAAATAATTATTGATGCACTAATCTTCTTATATTTTATAAAGTGAATAAAAGGAATGTAAAATTTAAAATAAAAATGTTAATATTTTATAGTTTTAAATAAATATTTAAATAAAAATGAATAAAACAATATAATCACTGTTATTTAATTAATAACAAGCCATGCTGGATATAGTTTTACATTAAAAATATTAAACGCGTTTAGTTTATTTTAAAACGTAGAAAGATCTATTTATACGATGCAAATATTATTATTTCACTGAACTACTTAAGCCTTTGAAGAAGTACTCTGACAACAGCAGACCAAAATTAATTGTGATGATAACGATGATGCGGAATTTATTAAGTTCGGGTCAGTTGAACTTGGTCATTAGGATCGTGTGTCTACAAAGCTCTGTACACTGTGAAACCTAACTCTGTATTCTCCAACATTGACTATCCATTCGTTCACGTCGTTCTGCTAAATTTACCACTTTGAAGTTTACCTTAACATATCCTTTAGACCGTCTGAAAGGGTTTACTTCCGATTCTGTACCGATAGTCATTTACGTTATACCGTGTAATTACCAAAATAGTACTCCTTTAAATAACTCGTACAGTGAGCTTGGATGGAAAATATTGACCCAACTGTATGATTTACACTCGGAACGTGTTTAACAGCCTTCTAATAGGAATGTGCGCGATATTTGAATAAAATTAGACGCCCGACTTCTGGTCTTCGCCCCATGGCTAAAACTGAAAACATGCAGTTTTTTCTCAACGCGTTCATAATAATACTCGAACATAATAATGTGTACTCGTATGCGTTTATTCAGAACTGCAGCACGCTCTACGTAAAAAATACAACGCGTGTCCTCCGGAAGTACGAGCATACAGGAATTCCTGGACGTTGCACATGTATAAACGTGTATAATAGTACAACATTAGCAACGCACTCCATTAGAGGGTCCGACGATAACAGCACGATCGACCGAGGCAATCATTTTTTACTTGCAATAATTTTTATCGATTGGAGTATGATGTTTTTCGTCAATTAGTCACGTGTCTACACAAGTGTAATAAACGACGAAAAAAAATGGATACCCTTTAATTCAGGAGCGTCCCCATAGTACAGCGCAGTGTTATCCAAACTTCCATAGTTTTCACTTTATACATTTTCTTCTCTCCCGAAATTTAAAATAATACAATACATGCAAAGCAACAAGTTAAAATATAATGTAATCAAATTGACGTGGTTAAAAAATATAACTATTGATCACGGAAATGTGTGTATTATTTATCAATAAAGTTTTCAATTGGAGATTAAACACATATACGCGACCACGTACTATTTTCGTATTGATATCTTTAATGGTCGATAGTGAAATATGATATCGTTAATATATAAGTTAATTAATTATTAAGTATAATATATACTTAACGTAATGCAGTACTGTGGGTGAACTAGATCTGCAACGCCGTTTAAAATAAATGTAATTAATATTCATAACGTGACATTCATGTAAGTATTTATGAAATTAGTTCACGTATTAAATTAAAATACGGCTAAAATAATAATAACACCCTTTGATGGGCGATGAAAATCATGTTTGAATGCACCTAGAGGCGACAAGTGGTATATTTTTATTGATAACAACACAAATAATATACTAAGAGGAAAAAAAGAAAGACGATCGTTTAAATGAGAATAGTGAACACCGCCGCAGTGAGTTAATTAGACATGATTATGTGAAATAGACGTTAAGTTGATTATTTTTTTAGTTATAGTAATTAAAACACAAAGAATATTTAATTCTATTGTTCAAATTTTTATTATTTTGACCAAAATAATATTGTTTTTCTAAGAATCTTTTGATGTGTTGGGTTTCTAAACAAAATTGAAAATAACAATAATCTAACAAAAACGTTTTGAGAAAATTAAAAAACGTATATTATCTAAGGTAAATATAAAACTTAGTCCAACACATGTTTAGTTAATGCATTAGCTAATACAAGATAATATTCATTTACAAAACATTTAAATTATTGATTTCCTTGGGTTTGCAATTTTATGTGTATCGTCGAAATGTATTTATTACAAACTTTATAGACAATGTGTAATCGTGTATTTATATTTGTGTAATCCACAGTATATATGTCTGCAGTCACTACAGTGTATATGATATCATGTTACATAATATATAGAGTAATATATGACTCAAGATTTCATGATACGTGCTATTTGAAGTGTGACCATATTGGTAATCAGTATCAGTTACATTCTCGAGGCCATATAAATAAGCACTGACAGCAGATACACTTAAAACACGTAATACCGTTTAACTAAATATGGTAATTAAGTCTTTTAGTTTTTAAACTATATTTCCTCATCGAAAATCATCTATTTGTTCTAGTTTAAATAAATTGATGTAGTAGATTCGTATCAATTAAAAGAGATCAAGGTAAATTCTGCAGTGGCGTGTTCAGTATTTCATAAGAAGGTCAGGTTGTAATAGGTAAGTCTTTTACTGCCCTATATCATAATAAATTATTTTTAATTGATTTGAGGTACAGAATAATGGTTTGGTTATTAATAGTATTTTTCATAAAATTTTTAATGCAACAAAATACTACAAATTAATATTTTACAATCATCATAAATGAAATTTCGATTCGATTTATTATTTTGTAAAAAAGACTCATCAAATTTTTAAAGACTAACTTCTATTAGTAGTGTGTCAATACTAAACTTATGAAATAAGAAAACTTTGCTATTTTCTTTTTATCTTCATCTTATTGATTGTTTTTTTCATCGACATAATTTATCAATGATTTGAAAATTACTAAACGTTACAGTTAGTAAAAATTCAAATTTATGTTAACAATAAATTGTGTATTGCATAAAAAACGCCCACAACTTCTTAAGTTACGCAAATGTTTTCCGTAAGTTTTTCAGTATTTTTTTTTCCTAACTTACTATTATAATTTTTTATTTATAGTTGTTAAGAATTTAAATTTAAGATGAAGAACATTACTTTAATACCCTAAGACATTAGAGGCGAATGGGTAATGCCATAATGATGACTATAATGTCATCAATGTTTTCAGAATAATTTCACTGTATAATTCTGGTATTTTGAACTGGGGTAATTTGCTGATTGTACTTAAAAGGCCTAAAAATTTAATACAAGACACTCAAAATTTACAAAAGTCTTTCTACAAATATATATACATATTTGGTGATAAATTAGCAGTTAAAAGTGTCTGTAAAAGATCAATTATTTTACTATCCAAATAAATAAATTTTCATTTAATATTGATGCAAAAAAAAAAATCATTTTTTACTCACTATTTTTGTTCTATGCATTTTTTTTTATATTATATTTCAGCAATAAAAAAAAATTAAAAAAAAACATTTCGCTGTATTTTTAAAAATTTTATGTTTTGTAATTTCAACATTCAAATAGTCTTATTTAAAAAAAATTATAAAATAAAAAACGATGAACTGTCGCTGTTGAAGTATAATTATTGATTTTTCCAAAAAAATAATATTACATGTCACTTTTATACTTCAAACTAAGTATCAGAACGTAATATTGTGTAATAAAAAAAAAAATAAATTTTATCGTGTGACGTTCATCATTGCCGGTTTATGACATTTTGATTTACAAATTTTTATCGTATTTGTCTTGTTCNATGCAATATTGTGTAATAAAAAAAATAAATAAATTTTATCGTGTGACGTTCATCATTGCCGGTTTATGACATTTTGATTTACAAATTTTTATCGTATTTGTCTTGTTCTTTGGTATACTCTTGGGACAATAGTTTAAGTCGATTGTTCCATATCGATGCCTTGCAATTTTATGTGCACGAAAACGTGATCGATGAACGCTATGAAAAATATTTTTGCTGTTCAATAACAGACANATGAAAAATATTTTTGCTGTTCAATAACAGACAGACATTTAAGATCATAAAATAAAAACAACCAGTATATTGGTTTCCAAAAAGTAAATTTCTTTACTCATAATTGTTTTAGAAGTTTTCCTAATTATTTATGTAAAACATATTTCATCCTTGTGTTTTAAAATTGTTAAGCCCATGTTTACATTAAATTCGAAACAGTATTCATTTATATAATAAGAATTGAAACAGTATTAATTTCATGATTTTAGACTTACTCATTTAAAATTGTAACTATGACAAAATGTAAAAGTTTTATTTTAAAATTTTAAACGTTAGAATTATGAGCTGTAAAATGTTTTTCGTTATGCGTTTGATGATGGCAGATTTAATGACTATCTTAACGTAAAATTATATTATATCAACTAATATTTAAAAATTAAAGAAGACGAGTATAATACGGACTAACCTGTGTTATTTATGTTAGTACTTTGATAAGATATTTATACTCTTATGCAATGACATAAAAATTAATGTATGTTTAATTTTCGCCAAGAATAGATTTGGTATTATTAGTGAACCACTCGGAATCACAATATTATAGTGTGACGTTAAGGAGCTTAATTTAGTATAAATCATTACTTAAATCTCATGAGTCTGTTAGATGTTATCTTAAGCTTTCACACATGCTGTTTTCACTTTCACAGTCGATCTTTACCCTTTTATTTGCACCTTGCTATGGTGTAGTATAATATGTATGCAAACAAACTTCCGGATGTTTCTATTAACGGAGATAAGCAACAGTGGTAAAATAACAATAGTCAACATTACATCTTGGTAAAATCTACTGCAAACCCGTTTCAATCGTCTTCAGTGCTTTACGCGGCATTATCCGACACCTTTTGTTAGCACCCGCCGTCGTGATGCACATCCTAAGAATCGTGCTCATCCACTGTTTGCTCGGATACAAAGCTTGTATTATTGTATTGACACATCAACGCTTTTCCTATTCTAGCCCCATCCGACAAACCTACTAAAGGTTATCTGGAACCTCTACGACGGTGATAATGATATATAAACCGCTACTTGCCCTGAAACATCGCCACCGTGATCGTTGATCAGAAACCACTTGGACCGGAGACTTGGTATCGTCCATAACTCTTCCAAGTTCCAAGCAACGACGATGAAGTTATGTATGTATACATGCACATACACACGCATAGTATTGTTTTATGTGCTAGTGTAGGAAATCCGCACTAGAACCACTTCAACGACCAGCGTATTCATATTGTTTTACGTGGCGGAGTGAAACAATGTACACACAAGAGGAGAACGAGACATTATATTGTATTTTATGACAAAAATAAAGTCACGTTTTTTTTAATGTAATCGTAATCGAAACAAGCCAATCGTGGGACTCTTCCATGACTTACACCGACACCGCCACTGGATGAACCACTAAAGTAAAATCTATAAAATATGTGAGATTTTTTTTCCTGTTCTTTTTTATTTCAATAAATACTTTTTTACTACAACATAAATGGTTTTGATTCAATTTAGAATTTTATTAAAAACTGATGCCAAAATCATCACATAAATCTTTGGAGTTTACCATTAGTTAATGACTTCATTTTGGTACCTCCCTTTTTAAATACTTTCAATCATTTAATTTGAAACTAATAAAATAAAAATAAAAAATCGCAAAATATGTTTAATCATATCAAATCTGTTAATTTGTAGCACATGATTTTGATATGAAGAATCAATGTTGATATTTTTGATATGACCTTTGTTTGATACTTGTTTTAAAAAAAATTATATTTATAAAATTGTTTTACTTAAAAAATTAATAAATCATCTAACGAATAGAATAAAATAAATAAATAAAATTGTATATGAATTTCAATTGACCCATACACGGGTTGTCGGATTTATTTTATACCTCGATTTAATACAAATTCAAAAACGGACTAAAATCCTTAACTATACTTTGAAAAATACAAATTACAGCAAATACATCCTAAGAGGGTTCTTTATTATACTAAAACCTGAGCAGAAAATATTTGTATTTTATTTTATTTAGTATATTTTTATAATACTCAATAATATAAAAACTTATTCTAAAGGGAAATAATCTTATGACATTGAGCATTCTATTTTAGACAGATTTTATTGTTTATATGTTAATAATAAAACTGAATTTTTAATTATATTAAGCCCTGTTATACATTTTATAAAAATTAGTACACAATTTTATCTTCTACTATGCATAACCTAATATAAATCATACAGTTAATAAATATTATTAATTGCAGAGTACAAGATTTCACTTACAATCGAGTGTTCTATGTTTTATTATTACATTCAAACTAAAGTAAGACAATGTCTAAAGAAACCGACTGCCGCGTAACGTAAATAATTAATTATGCTAGGAGTACCATGTTGTGATTATTACAAATTACATACATCTCTTGACCCATCTGTCTATATGAGTAATTGTAATTGTATTGCATATGAATATTCCATGAAAATTATTTGAAGGTTATTAAGAACTTACAAATATATTAAGCATTATACCCAAACGAAAAATTATCGTGCGTTACACTTTGATTTATTTAAGATATATTTTTTTCTTTACACGGTTGTCAAACTGATGTAAAATAGTGGATATTTTTTAAACACATTGTGTACATTATAAATGTAATGAAATAACATGGAAGCATGAAAAAACATTTAATTTTAAAACTTCAAATTTTAGTTTTATTACCATTTTGTGAGTTATTAAGTAAATTCAACTTTTAACAATCAATTTTCGAGTAACTTGTTTCAAATATGTAATACAATAAATTATTTTGTTGTATTTTTTAAGTAGCTTATCTTATAATTATTAATATGTTTTTTTTAACAACTCTTAATACATCTATATTTCGACTGTTCAGATTTTTTTTTGATCTAGTAAAGATTTTACTATACCAAAATTAATGGTGTTGAAGTTTCGATTGTCCAATACTTTATAACAAATAGTACTTAATATACGAAAACATAATACAATTTATTTAACTATTGTTTTTATAAGGCAGTATTTTATATTTAATCAGTTTGTAATATTCTGTACTATAGTCATTGATTGCCATCTGAAATTAATTTTATTAATATTTATTAATTTGATTTCACATGATTTAAAAGAAAATCAGTCATAATATTTCTACATAGTTTTATTGTAAATTTCATAATTTATACAATTATTTTATTATTACTTAAAAAAAATATGAATTAAAAAGTCGATCAAACATTTTGACAGGATTTTTTATTTGACATAATGTAAATAATGACATTTAATGCATTTTTAAGTTATTACCTTTTGCGTAATTACATCGAGTGTTATATCAATATTATTTTTTATTTATTTTTTTTAATTTTCCAACGTAGTAATCCGATACCTTAAATGTGATGGGATATGTTCAGTTTCATTCCATTTGTCACTTATATTAAAAAAAATTAAATAAAAAAGCTATTAAAAATAGTTTCAAGTCTTAGAAACTTTTTTAATATTAAATAAGAAACAGACACCTGTAATTAAGAGTGACAATTATATAAAAAGGTCGTATTGAAATTTTAGATTAGCTAAATTTCTACTAATTTAATTTTCTTTAATTAATTTTAATCCTAATTGTTTTATAAGATATAAGATGTTCATAAAAAATAACATTTTTTTTAAATATTTATACAAATTTCAATCGTCATTATACTTGACATAAAAGTTACATTTGGATATTGAAATAATTATTTGAAAAAAGTTGATTAATAATACTAATACAGTTTAATATAATTTAACTTTACTTTTCAATTATTATAGAAGTATAATTCTGAAATTTAAATTAATTGTTAAAATTATTGTTTTTATGTAAAATGAATTTGAAATAGATCATTTTAACAAAAATTCCAAAGTCATCGATATCTAGTATTGACCTTGTTAGAAATATTCTTCCTTAAATTTTTAGAGAATCCAGTATTATCATTCACTAATCTTTCTTTAAATTCTTGTTTTGACCATACTGGAGCAAATGTTTCCTAAGAAAAAATATGTTAAGAACATTTTAATATCAAGATTTTCAAGTTTTCTCTCTTTACCGAGTTGCTGTCGAATCCAGTAGTTATATACTTCCCGCAGAATTTCTGGTCGAACGAACCCAATTTATTTTTCCATTGGTTTGTCCATTCAACGTAATCCTGATACAGAGGATCTATAGTTTTGACCTTATTTTTTCCTGGAGGTGAGTATAATGTGATGTTCTATGTGAAAATATAAAACATACAAAGATAATATTGTACTTACCCATAACAGATAATGGAACGCTTTTTTCATATTCAAACCCATCGAATATTTTACCTTCTTTCACATATTCAATCTCGCCCAAAATATCTGAAAGATTTAATATACTTTATTCAAGTTTGTTTTTAATTAATTTGTAGAAAAAATAATTTATACTTTTTTGTTAGTATGTTATCTTATAATTCTAAAAATGATTTAACTTCTTATAATTTTGTTTTATCTATTTCTTTCTATAACTTTTTTACATAAATATGTAGTTCAATAATAAAAATCAAATAAAAAACTGCAAAATACTGAATTTATCTCAGAATGTAAAAAATATTTTTTTAAGAGAAATAACTTCTTAATGTTAATATTTTTCTTATTAAATTTTTTTCTTTAAAATTTATTATTCCATTTTACAAAGTATTGTATAAATTGTCATCTTTACATATTAAGTTAATACTAGTTTAAGTAATATTTATCATTAGTATAAAAAACATGAATATTATTAATTAATATTATTAATAAAATAATGATATGAAAATATAGTGTATATATTTATAGAAATATAAAATCCTTTTTGTAATCTATTATAGTTACTATTACAATCTAAAATAATGTATTGCAGATCTAATTGTTTTACTTAACAATATGTAAAAACCAAGTTCCTAATGTATTTTTTATTAGACAGAACTGTGAATACATCGCCAATTTTTGTTAATTTTTCATAATTTTACAAATTAATTAATAAAGCATATAAATTTATGTAGTAGATATTATTTTCTAACTAACTGTTATTTTATCAATTTTTGACAATCCTTGTACTCATCGCCTGTCTTCATGCATCATTATTTTCAAAAAACATAAATTGAGACAATAAATATTATCATTTGATTATAAATTCAAAAAACTACTACTTCTAAATCGAATAAAAAATTAAAGAATTAATTTCAGTTATTCATACTATACCATTATACTACTTTATAAATTTATTATAAAAATACATACTCATCTTTAGTATATAACACGTCATTAGTCAGTATATTATAGAATATTTTCATTGGAATATACAAAAACCAAGAGTCTTGGTTATCAATTATGATATTCTGAAGACATTTAATTTTTAAAGGCAATGACACTTTAACGTACCACTCATGTAAGTTAAAATATAGTAATTTGTCATTTTCACTTAAATTATCTATATACTGTTTATTTATATATGGAAAGTTACTCAATGTGTATTATTTAAAAAATTTCAAATGATTAATTGCTCCCAGGTTAAGTTAACATAATAATAATGTTAGACAACTATATGTTATTTTAAATAACTTTAAAACTATTTTTTCATTACTCAATTTTCTTTAAAATGTGATTTTTACATCAGCTGATCATGTTTATTTAAAATGAATTGAGATATCTTTGAACCGATAGGTTTTATGTAAATTTTTTCCATAAAATTAATAATTGTAATATTATTATTATTTTTATTTATCTCTCTAAATTATTCTGTAAAATTAAATTAGTTATAATAATTTAATAATGAGATGTATTAATAAAAAATATTTAACTGTATTAAAATGTCAAGATTTAAAAATCAACTTCCAGTAAAATAAAAACAATGATTACATTTTAGTTTTCAAACCATTTTCTGTAAGTCTAATATTTTAATATTTAAGTATTTAGTTTATAAAGTGTTATATTGTTTAAAATTTGAAAATATTTTAAATATTATCTGAATAACATTTTATTATGTCTTACGTGATTCAAATTCTTTACAAGGAATATTGCCATTAGATATATTTTTTTCCTTATACTTTGGTATTTATAAATAATTGAACAATTTAAAAATAATGAATTATTTTAATAAATGTTTCATTCAGTTAGTAAAGAAATTCATTACCCAGTAACCAAATAATGATTATTTTTTTAATTTATTTATATAGATATGATTTTTAAGGAATATTGTTTGAATATAAATTTATTATAAATATTTCTAATTTATTTTCATTAATAACTCTAAAATAGCTGATATCATAGATTTACAACAGTTTAGTTATAATGGCACTTAATTTTAATATCGTAGCAAATTTTAAACACCGACTTATGTGTTCATTTTGTATTTATTAATAAACAGTTCGGTAATACGTTAATCATGTCTTTTGTAAGCATATTATTTCTTTCATTTACCCTTCAGATTTCTTTGTTGTTTTATTATTAAATGCTCTTTAAAGATATATTTTTAAAAACTTTTCAATGTGTGTCAATTTAAATTCAAAAGGTTTCTTAGTACTAAACAATAACACATGTTTTAAATGACGGTAGTTGTTGCAAACCCATTAGCTTAATGGAAACTTGTATTTCTTCTTCATTTACTTTTAAAGTACCTGTGTATTTTTAACCAGATAATTGTGTACATTGACAACACTTACTCTTACCCCTATGAATAAGAATTTGTTATTTTATTTCAGTTTACACATATTGTGTACTCTTGAGAGAACTTACTTTGCTTTTTTAACAAAAATAATTAACACATTGTGGTTGAAAAAAGAAAATAGTTGGACAGAAAGGACTGTTTAAAAAATAATGCAATAAGTTTTTTTTAGTTTTCATAACAAAATATTTAATTTCTATATCTAATATTAAAAAACAAAAAAATATGAATATTTATTTCAAAAAAATTTAAATTATGCATTGAAAATTGTGATAAATTATTTATTAAATCTCAATTATTTTAATACGGTTATAAATGAATGAATATAGGTATCAATGTTAAAAATTTTGAAGTGTTGTAATTTTACCATGACAGATTAACAAAGGATATTTAGTAAAAATTGAAAAGTAGGTTTTACGAAGCTTAAGGGTTGAGTACTCTATATGACTTATTGTTCGACATAGGCAACAACAAAAACACAATGAAAAAAATATAATAAATAATGCTACATTCTTTTGATAAATCGTTCACAACCGGAACTCAATGTCCCTTTGCAGAAGGGTAAAAGTACAATCACATAATAACAAATGCTGAACACCCAGTCAATAATAATATCGAAAAAACGGATAAAATTATTTGCAATGTAAATAGATTCTTTCAGAAACCACTCGTCATTAATACTTTTATGTATAGAATTTCCTAAACGTACAAACTTTTTTTAAAAAAAGTCAAAGGATTATTGAATGGGAAAACATCTAAATATAATACACCAAAGAAGAATTTTTCATTCATACTGAATATTTCATAGAATTTAATTTAAATAATATTTTTTTAATAAATTCAAAAAATTAGCTACATATTATTATAATATGTGAGCGCTAAAAATTGAATTAAAATACATAAAACTTTATTATAATAAATGACAAGAAGTGAGATTTGTGTTCTGTTCAGCAGGAAAGGATTCCCGCAGCGTCACGAATCAACAGGGAAAAATTGTATGCTTTCACATGAAGAAAAAGTCCCTGAAATCGAGGGTGCTGCTGGTTTACTGCACGTGTCTCTTCCAACAGTGTCCCCAACAGTGTTTGGACACCTATGGTGAGCAAAATCGAGAGGATTAAAAATATCAGACCATTTATCACACGTTCGAATACATAAGATAGGCTATAAATGACCTTTGACGGACGACCGCTATACGATTATATTATTACTGTGTTATGTGTTTCCAGTTGAATCTATATACATTTAAAATATTATTTTTTCAGATTCCCCGTTACTATATATCACATTGGATTCATACCAAGTGTGGTTTAATAACACAGGGTGAAAGACTGAAATACAATTTTTAAGACTATTCGAGTACAATGTCATATGAGCCACGAACGGTAGATAACTTTGACAAAAGCTATTTGTAGTAAATATAAAATAATAATTAACACGATTAGCTGCATATTAGGGTGCTGTTATTAAAGAACAATGAGATAATTATTTTTCAAATCTAAAATTATTTATTATACGACATATTGAAATTTTAGAAAAAGTCTACGATCATAAACATAACGTACAGTTAGTAGGTTTATAAAATAATATTGCGTCATTTGTTGATACTCATAATTGCACAGTAGAATTGTGTAAGTATTTAAATCTTCTAACAAAATAAATCAATTTTATAAATTATTATTACTCCTCATAATATTTTAGATATAAATATTTCGTTTTAGTGTACATAAATAATACCCATGTGTTCCATGATAAAATAGTTAGCAAGATTTATAGATGTATTAAAATATTTCATATATTTTATAGGAAAAACGTAAGTGAGGGAGATCATTGAATAACAAGCAACGCAATGTTGTTCAATAATTCCACAATACTTAATTCAAAAGTTTGTAACAATATTGGAGTTTCATTCGATAAAGAAATTGATATTTATTATAAGATATTGAACTTCACATTAAAAAAGGTGATATTTCATACATTTAACCGTTAAATAATTCATATAAGTTAACGATACTTAATAAAACAAGTTTGTCGACTTCTAAAATAGTTAGCGGAGTACGTGGGATTAAAAATATATTTAAAATATTGTAAATATCTTATTATTGTGTTTAAAATAGTGAAAAGTTTCGAGAATAAATTTGTGTCTTTCTTTTTATTAATTTATATTTAACGTCTTATTTCTTAAGCAACTCCTTGTGATCATTATGATGAGAACTCATTGTAATCCTTATAATTTTGTACTGAGGTAAAATAAATTCTCGACTAATCTCTGTTCTATGTAATATATCTTTGTGCTACTGCGTAAAAACAATTTTTTTGTTAATCATGTTATAATACTTACTAAATAGTAAATTATGAATAAATTTAGATAAGTTAACAAAAAAATTACATGGTAAACTTCCCCAAATATACGTTTATAAAACTTTATAAACTTTACAGGGTATAAAATACCCTGTAATTTATAAAATCTACAGGGTATTTTTATTTGTCTTTATACCCCATATAATTTATTAACAAGAGCTATAGCTTTTTATACCTATTTCAATAGCATAACGTATAATAATTTCATTTTATTAGGTTTCAGAGCAAATCCATTGAAAAAAGTCTATTTGATTTGTTATGAATAATTTAGATTTATAATTTGTCAGAAAATGTCTGGAATCTTATATAGATTAAATGTATATTTATTATCTCATCAAAATAAACTAATATTTGATCATTACTAAGAATAAAAAAAGATTGACTTTTTAATAATATTATTTGTCAAATGAAAACTAAAAGTCTTAACGTCAATCTTTTTCATGCGGTCACAGAAAACGATTTTGAACATTTATATTTGTTTAAATTTACTTTGTAGTCCACATTTTCTGCTTAAAATTAATTTAACGTTAAAAAAAAGCCAACAAATGGGGCAAGAAAACTACGTCTCACGCCTGCGCTTTCAAAAAAAAAAGTCGAGTTCCAATTAAAAATCAACTTTTTTTTTATAAAAACACAATAGAAATATAAAGATTCAGAGACTTATATTTTAAATAAGTTTTATGTTTAACTTATTTTAAAAAAAACTGACATTTTATTCTAAAATACCTGTCTTTTTAAACAACCTTGTTCTTTTTTAATCATTCTACGTAAAAAAATATTTACGGGAAACGTCATGTTTTAAGATCAAAGCACGAAAATTTAAATTCTTGATACTTAGTATTGAAGTTAAAACAATCGTTAAAATTAAAAATATTACTTTGGATTAGAATGGTTTATCTGATTTTTAAATGAAAATAATGCTTGTAGAATATTTTTAGTCATCTACGTCAAATTTTTATAGATACTTTAAAGTACAATTTGAAATATTTGTTTATTACTAATTTATTATACTTAAAATCAAAACACTAAAATGATGAAAATTTCATTTCACCAACTCGTATAAATAGTATTTATTCAAAAATAAACAAATTTAAGTTAAAATAAAATTAATATTAAAAGCTAAAAATTAAATAAATACTCAGTTTAGCGTGAAAACTCATCAAAGTATTTTTTTATAAAATTTTTATTTATTTTAATTTATTCTTGACGGTAATGGTTGAAATATAAAAACAAAAATGTGTGTACCTTAAAATAAAGTAAAATCGATTATCTATTTGTACATTAACAAATGGTAGTAACAAATTAAACCTAGAAGTAATAAAAAAACTATAAGTGAGTTTCTTTATCAAGCTAATAAAATATTAAATCTCACGTTCCAACAATAAAATTTTAAGTATGATCATTTTAGAAACAAATATTTATCGAAACAATTTCTATTTGTAACCTTCAAAATGTTAACAAATCAATTATTATTTTAAAGTCTTAATTTAAAGAACTACTGTTATTAGTACTTTCAAAGTATCTAATTAATTAAGTAAATTTTAATTTATAAAAGTAAAATCATGTACTTGTAAGTAGTGGTTGAAAGTTTTTACAAGTCCATTTTAACCATAGCTTTTATCCACTATATTATTAACTTGATGTATTTTCATTAAATAATATTGTACATCTCAATTGAGTAGATGAAGCAATCCAGCTGAAACAATTACAATTTTTTACTAAACTTATAGTTTATATTTGATGAGAAAATGGAAAATTATGTGATGTTAGTCATTTATTGATCTATATCCGTATAAAAAATGATCTTTGACGTGTTCACGTGTTCATATAATTAATAAAAGCCACTGGGCACTTATTTTAATTATACATCTTATCAAAAACAGTCTTTATATTTTATGTGTTACAGTTTATTCGCATGTGTGTGGTCTACGTTCATATGACTTATAGTCGTGGCGGCATGTTGAACTTGTCAAACAGCCTATAAGTTCACGAACATCGCAGTACAATTTACTTATATATATTGTAAAGTCAACTATAGTCATTAAATTCAATGGACGTTGTTTTTAAATAAATAGATTTCTTATTGTTTTTGTAAAGATTTGTAGTTAACTATCTTGAAATTTTATTTGAGTTAAAATTATTTTCACTAAATGCTTTTAAAAGTCATTTTCGTAATTACTTGTTCTCTAAAGTTATTACAATGCAAAATTTTACATGAAACATATAATAGCTACGGACTTATTTTTATTATTGTACAGTTGCTCTCAAACGATATAATAATAAACATTTTTGTCATGCACTCTTAGTATGTACTCAATAATAATTTTTTACTCTTTTCACTGTTTTTGAAATGAAAAATAGAATTTTTGTTACAATAATTAATGTTATCAGTCAATGTAAAATTTAGAAGTGCACGAGTGTACGCTTAATAAAGTCTAATGATTTATATAGGTTGTGACACAATTTAATAAAATTTACCAGTAACACGAGTATAGGGGACTTATTAAGATGCGTGAGAGTGTATTTGAACTTGTTCAAGTACGTTCACGATATAAATCAAAACTGATTAATTTTGGAACGCGCGTGGCCTGATGGGAAAAACGCATTCGTACGAACCTAGTACATTTAAAATATAACGACGAGTTGTCGCAGTCGAAGGGTTAGTAGAATCAGTTATATGATTATTAAAAATGATAGGGAAAAAATAACACAACGAGACACAATTAGATTAGATTTAGGGGTCTTCCCAGCAAATTCAATTAAATGACAGATTCGATACACTTTTGTATCATTATTATTTTTCTTTTTGTGAACCATTTGACATTGTGTCACTCAACTCGATGTGTACAACCTCAATGTCAACTTTGGCGGGGAGAGATCATAATCAAACGTTTTCGTGATAACTTCCACTATTTCTATCTTTTCTTCGATAAATTGTTCCGTAGGGGAAACTCAGTGTAGTTTCATCGACAGTGCAAAACGCATATGAAAGAAATGAGTCATTTCATGGAAATGGTCTCGCCGGAGTCATTTTATTTTGAAAAAAGGGTCGTGTGTCACTCTGTGCAAGAAAGTTCTAAGGAAATATGTAACAACGACAACGCATACTCATATCGTCTCTACTAACGAGCAAATAGCTGTCCTCCTCTGGGTGTTGTTTTATACGCTCATTTACGGATCGTTATTTTTGACTCTTGGCAAACAGCAAAAAATGAATTCTTCATGAGGCACATTTTGTGTTGCCATATCGCTTGATAGACTTTACCTTTTAATAATTACCTATCAGCTTAAAGTTTAAAAATTACAATTTTTTTATTTCAAAAACAATTATTTCATGAAATGTATGGATTTTTTTTTTATTAGTGATCGGAGAATATTTTAGAGTAATATTATAATAAACGTGTAGCTTTTATAATAACTAAAATATAGGTAGAGATTTGAGTAAAATTTTGCGAAAACATATCAGATGACGTTCATTAGTTAGAACGCTCATCTTGTAGTGAAAACCAAAATCAAAATTTGATACTTAACCTTTTTTTACTAACACTGATCGGTAATTAATTAGTCTCTGTAGATAAAGTAGACTACCAGAAGTAAGGAAATTTGAAACATCACCGCACAAAACATAATAAATATAATGCAGTGTATTTTAATAACAATTATTTTATAAATTTTTCTCAGAACGATTAAATAAAATAATCATATATGCAAGAATATTTCAATAATATTTATATAATCAAATTTAAAACCTCCCTCGAGGATACTAAAGGAAATATATGTACTCGTTAGACATTATTTATGCGTGTCACAAGAGAAATTCGCCGAGGGTGCATTAATTATGTTTTCATTACAATTTAGACCGCATCCAGTGGCAAATTCACTATAATTGTATGATCTATATTAAATTATCACAGTGTTGTGGTGGGTGGCAACGACGAAATTACACCGTTGTGGATACACGTCACCTACTGCTGTTGCAATGCCACGTAAGTATCGCATGCAGCATTGTGTGTATATACAACGACAATAATTTACTAATGCATTCGATTGCGGCCAGCAGATGCCCATACAATAATTTCATTAATGCTCAAATAGAATATTATGATCAGTTAACAACTACTGCTGATGGTGACTCTCTATGATCGTTGCCACAGCCAGGAAAATTGTTCTTCGAGCGGACCCCACCGGCCACAGCGTCGACATCTGCCGTGCGATTATATTGTACAGTGTCACCGGGTGATCGATAAATCACACACGCACGTTTCACTAAACACACAACTATAGTATTTTATGATTTTATTGTGTATAAATATTGACACGAGAACACACACTGTCTGTCCTGGCAGACGACCACCGCAAAATAACTTGTGTGTGGCCACCGTAAAGAATCTGTTCATGGACAACAGTTGCGGTAGAGACTTAAACACAAAAAAAGGTGGTTACGTTTATATTTGCAATAATTCTAAACCGCCGTCGAATTCATTCAAGTTGAGTCTAACGCGTATAAAATAAAAACTACTTCAGCTATTGAAAAGCAGTAAGGTACCCGCAATATTGTGCTCGTGAAAAGTTTTGACACGTAGCGATTATCAAAACTTAATTTATGATTGGAAGGGGTGTCTCTTCGTCATGACATCACTGCGTTATCAAAAAAAAAACCATTGTCCTATGAGACGACCAAGTTCTTTTCTGTCGACTATTTTTTTTTTTTGTCTTAACGGTAGAATAAATCTTAACAATCGTTGAGATTTTTTACTCCCTCTTTTGTGGACACAGTTTTTGACATGCCGGCTGATCATCCCGTATTATTTCGGTCTGCAGCACGTTACAATATCGATAATCTATTGAACGTCTGTAAGTACATGTTAGACTAGTGCAAGTCGTATGAAAAAAAAACAAAAAAGCGATACCGCGAAACATACAGTAAACGATGTCAACGTCACTTTGTGTGAAGGTGTTCGTGAGTTTTTAAATAGTATTGTGATTAATCGGCCCAGAAATAAGGGAGAGGGTGTTGTTGCTTTTATTTCATTAAAATTAAAAAACACACATCCATCAAATTAATCTCAACACTCTGTCTATTTAACTATAGCACAAAACGAACTTAATGGTACATTTACCGCGAATAGTTCCATTGAACCGCACTGTTTCATTTTTATATGCTCATTTTTCTGTGGTATTGAAAATAACAGGGCGTGGCGAAAAATCTTTTTCGGTGAACAAATTTCGGTAGCTTAAAATTATCAGTTACAATATTTATTCCTAAAGATTATAAAAAGTAAAAAGATAGCTTTTCAGTCAAAAATTAAACGACAATTGTAAATGATAATATTTTACTTTATTCTGACATACATTTTTTTAAATGTAACGTTTGGAAAGTTTTTATTTTCGTTTTAATAACAATTGTTTTACATCAAGTTGTATTATATTTAACGATATTTTTATTTATTGATATCACGTATTTTTAGTTCGATTTTTCAATTACGTTTCGATAAAAATTTTGTTTTAAACATTGTAACTAAAACGTTATTGATAGCGTTTTCTTGTCCTGCTATTTTATATCACTTTAACAACAAATCTAACTTGAGTTAATGTTGTAAACCACAGATTTTTTTTATTTCGAATATAGTATTTTTTTTTAACGGAATTTGAGTTTCCTGAAAGTGAACGTGACAGGCTTAATATATTGAAAAGGGTGTTTTAAGTATCGAAATAACTCTGAACATGTTCTGTCTTCCCTTAGCAGTATACATGAAGCGTATCGCCGGTAAGTAGAAACGAAGATGCATTCTACAAAAAGTGCGTAATTCCTCCTATAAGTTTTCTTGAGCTCAATTCACCATGTCCTACCCTCGGAATCAAACGAAAACCGGACAATGGATCTATTTCCGATGTATCGAACCACGCAGAACGTTTTTCCCGTTTCCGGTATGTAGTTCTATTCCTCATGTACTAGAATTACTTTACTGAAAATCACACGTGAATTGTTTAACAGTAAATTATTATTCAAATAAATTAATGACAATCATCAGATACATTCGTTACTCATGAGGAATTATTGAAATTATGAATATGTCGAGATTTAATCATTTATAATTATTGTGAGTATATTTTTATAAATTTCACATTTAATTCAATTGTTGTTTTCTATTTATTCAGAGTTAGTATTAACTTTAACTTCACACTATTTAATACAGTTGTAGTATTGTTAAATATCACACATTTAATTCCGATAAAATTTTATTTCAAATTCAACAATAGCCATATTTATTTCAAAATCTGACTATATTAATAGTTTGTATTAGTTTTATCCAGTAAGAATTGTTTATTAAATATTATTTATAAATTTTTACCGCAAAATTATTATTATTCATCTTTGAAGTGAAATAGCATTTTCAACTTAGTACTTTATATTAATAATGATTAATGAGTATTTTGTTTATACTTAGGGTGTGTAAAATGTTTTTCTATATTAAAACGTTTAGCATAATTCTAGGTTTATAGCTATAATAGGTCAAACCAGCTGCAATTTCTTCCCATTTTTTTCAAATGCACCCTTATTTTTAATACGCAAATCCATAATAAACAGCTGAATTTTTTACTATAGGGGTAGAACCGAAGCTTTGTCTATGGTGTCAGCTGTTTTTATTAATAACTATTTAAGTGCGAATAGGTAAACTGGTTCTGTCACGAAGGGAAAATTCAAATAGTGTTTGAATGAAATTCTAAAAATTCCTATACTAATTCGATAGCCTTGTTATTAAATACAACTCAATTTAAAATTTAAATTAATTGTTCATAATTTATCAACTGATGAGCGTCAGTGAGTAAATTTTTAAACTATTCTCTAGTAAAATTTTGAGTAATTGACATTAAAGTTGTCTTATTAATCTCGTTATTAATATACTTTAAAGTTGTTGTGTAAAAACCGTCCAAAGGGATTAAATAAACACACTCGTTCAGAGAGTATTTAATGCGACCTGGATTAGTGGTTGATTCTATAAAAATTGTACTATAAATGGACTGCCCACTCCCTACTTCTTTTACGCAAATTAACACCTTTTGTCAGTCAGTCAATTGTGTTCCGTACTCGCATTAACCTTCCCCAAACATAATTTGAGCGTAAACAAATGGCTATTGTAACATTTTCATTGATATTCACCTCTTGCACTCTGCTTTTACTTCTGTGCACATCTGAATAATAGAACATGCCTATTGTCAATAA